TTCAAAACGTCATCCAATTTTATATTAATTTATTCGTGGATATAATTACATTTATTCGTTATTTTAATACTTACTGACGATAGATTACATTTACTCTATATTTTAATACTTACTGACGATAGATTAGAAGAAACATCAATGCTTGGAGTATCGGGCAAATATATACCGGGCAATGGCACTTGACCTTAAAAAACATCAGTGTAAGGTATACCGGGCAAATGTATACCGGGCAGTGGCACTGAACCTTTAAAAAAACCTCAGTGTAGGGTAAACCGGGCAAATGTATACCGGGCAATTGCACTGCACCTTAAAAAACATCAGTGTAGGGTATACCGGGCAGTGGCACTTAACTAGATTTAGTATATATTTCGGACATTTACCAAAGGCCTAGTCATACTAAGTCTAGTTAAGTGCAATTGCCCGGTAAACATTTGCCCGGTATACCCTACACTGATGTTTTTTTAAGGTTCAGTGCCAATGCCCGGTATAAATTTGCTCGGTATACCCTACACTGATGTTTTTTTTAAGGTCAAGTGCCACTGCACCGTATACATTTGCCCGGTATACCCTACATTGATGTTTTTTTAAGGTCAAGTGCCACTGCTCGTATACATTTGCCCGGTATATTCTACACTGATGTTTTTTAAGGTTCAGTGCCACTGCCCAGTATGCAATTGCCCGGTATACCCTACACTGATTTTTTTTTAAGATCAAGTGCCATTGCCCGGTTATATTTGCCCGATACTCCAAACACTGATGTTTCTTCTAATCTATCGTCAGTAAATATTAAAATATCGAATAAATGTAATTATATCCACGAATATATTAATCTGAAATCGGATGTAATAAATATTTCAGACATTCACCAAAGCGACTATGTGATTATCAACATTCACCGGTGAAAGTCAACAATCACCGATTTCGTTCATTCACAGTAACATGCACATCATTTACATTACAACCTCATCAGGACGTTTATTTCATACTTTGCCTAAATATTATCCGGCATTGTATAGAATGCCTAGGCATTCTATACAATGACTAGGCAAAGTATGTAATACTTCTCACATTTCATACTTTGCCTAAAAACTTCAGACATTCTATACAATGCCTAGTCATTCTATACAATGCCGGCGTTTTATACTTTGCCGATAACATATACACTAAGATTCATTTTCACGTTAATTATTTTTTCATATTTTCCGTCTTTATTTAATTTTTTGCATTTGCTTTCATCTCTCTAATATGATGATGAAAAAGATCCCAATTTATTGCTTTCATAATTAAATTTGTTACAAATATTTTATATTGTAGCAAATCTAATTTTGCATCAAAATATAAATCTATGATATCGGAAACAGTTTTCTTCTAACATTGACGTTCAACAATATCTCATGTATGATATTACTTATGGATGGTGTTTTCCACACTAGAACGCTGCAAGCTCGGTACCGCCTAAATTTCCGGATTACTGTTTCCGTTGTATTTTAAAGCCATTTGACATCATTGTATTTTGAGATTCTTGCAAACAATGTATTTGATTACTTATTACTTGTGTTTGCAATGTTTATGGAAAGAGGCCAAATCAAGACTGCCAAAAAAGCTAGTTATTCAAAATCTAGCAACCATGTCACCTTTTTTAACAATATATCTTTAAATAACTAAAATAAATTTTCACTTCAAACTCACCAGAATTACACAATAACATTAATATCTTATGAAATACGGCTGATTTGAGCTCAGAAATTATCTAATCCATTTCTTTTATTGAAAACAAAATTATCCGTTTGAAAATATCGCCTCGCAGAATAACATGTAGTAAGCAGCAGCAAACTTTCTAACCGGAACTAGAGCAGGCATACAGCTCGAGATTGTTATTGTTTACATTTCTACTGAAAACACCATCCATATGATTAGCATTGTGTTTATTGCATTTATTCTAAATTATACGGTTAAAATTTGAGACAAGAAATTGACACTCTAACATTGTGCAAAAGAACCACTATAGTCGAGGTAGTCTGATGTTCTTGGACACGATTCACGACCCGACTTTCATGCGTTCGATAGATGTACTCTGATATATAAGCGGTAAATGTGACGAGACTCTTTCCATCTGTATGAGACTTTTCGGTGAAGCATAGAGACAGAATTTCATCTTTATAAACGATGACGCCGTCTACACAGGGTTCAGTTGTCAGACAAATACCTCCATTCCGAAGATATTCAACATCTGGAGTTGTCTGCAATGTTCCCTGACTTTAATCCCATCGAAATTTTATGGGAAGCTCTTGGACACTCAATTGCAGCAGCTCTATAACCAGCTCCAATGACCATCGATAAGCTCAAGGGTACCTTGCTGAAAGAGTTGGTGTGGTTGCTACATGGATTGATGAAGACTATGGTAAACAGTATAAAACGCTAATGCGAGAGTCGTGTAGCAGTGAGAAGCTACCACACACCCTATTAGGCATACTTTATTTGACTGACAGGGTATCGATTAACTGATGTGCTGGACAAATGACCAGTTTCTTTATTTAGGGTACATATTACACCCATTTCTGTTTTCCCATGTATTGGTCTAATATCGGATGGTATTTTGGCCAGATATGGTATTTCGGACGCTATCTTAATGGCTCAAGAGGGTGACCTCAAATAAGCTAATTATTAAATGCAGAAGATATTTTAAGTTACAAAATCAGACAAAAAAATGGATTTTCTCTGAATAAACATACCTACTTTTCGATGAATTCGGATTTCCGACTCCCAAAATATAGGGGGTAGCCACAATCTGGGAAATATGGTCCCAATAGTTTGGTCAGAATAGAACTCTAAAGTTTGAACCCCGTTACGTTAATTTCACTTTTTGTGCATTTCGCTATATTTCGAGAACTTTTTATGCGAATTGAAACATTTTTGCACATATCTATAAAATTCGTTCATCCAAAGATAATTAAGCGCAAAAAATAATTTTTCGTGAATATTTATCATTGTTTATTTATTATTGTTTATTATTTTTAATAATGGTCGAAATTTTTTAAAATTTCGATCAAGTGTAGTGTGTCTACCACTACAAAAATACAATTCCAATCCAATAGTATATAAGACATGTTAACTCGAATCTTTGTTGGGGTATCTTTTCATACATGAAGGTTATAACTTACTCCCCACATTGGTGACCCGAATGTGATGTGAACATGCCTATCTCGACTCGACAGTAACACCCACTTCGATTTGAACAAGCCTACTTCGATGGATGGTTCACCTTGAACAGTTGATTTGCTACTTGCGACATTATCCACCTCCTCGAGCTGTTGCTACTCAGTCTCGATCAAACACAGCGTCGGCCTGCATACACTCGCCTGTTCCTGTTAATGTCAACATATGAGCAACGACGACAGTGAACTTAATACAGCTCTCACGGTCAACAAAAGTACGGTGATTTTAATACAGCTCTCCCGTATTCTCACAAAACAGCAATGAACCAACTAGTGGTATCGAATTCTATCACTGATATTAATTCTGGAGGAGGAGTACTGTAGTGTGTCTACCACTACAAAAATACAATTCCAATTCACTAATTTATAAGACATTTTAACTCAATCATATGCTGGGTACCTTTTCATAGAAGAAGGTTGAAATGGTCGATAACTCACTCCCCACAGTAAGGAATACAAATTTTTGCATCATTTCAAAGATTATAATTTTGCAATGCAAAATACAAAATTTGAGCGAAATCGGTTGAATGGTTCTTGAGAAATTGAATTTCAAAGAAGATATTTAAAATTTGATTCTCAGAAACGATTCCACAGATTTTGTATTTTGCCTTGTAAAATTATATTCTTTAAAATGATACAAAAATTTGTAATCCTTACAATTCAAAATTTTTTCGACCAATATTAAATAAAATAATAAATATTTGCTAAAGATTACTTTTAGCATGGAATTATCTTTGGATAAATGAATTTCATTTCCCAGAAAATTCCTACACTAACATAAAAAATTTTACGAGTTAAAAACTAGTAATATTTTAATATATCCATTTTTAACTGGTCCTAATTGCAACAGTAAGCTCATAGAATGTCAAGCACTTCTCTGAATACTTAGTAGAAACATAAAAGTTGGGTTAAAAACAAAAGAAACAGCCGTTATCCTATGTAATTATTAATACTTCGGATGACTAGTGATTTAAATTTAAAAAAATTACGTGATATAATTGATGTAAATCAGATGAACTTACATTATTCGTGAACGCAACGACCTATAGGGGACGTTGTTTTTTGAGGTGAATGACTGCTAGTAGAACAACACGATCATCAGTTGCACTGGAGATTTCTTCAGTATTGCATGGTAACGTTCCTGCCTTATTTTGGCTTATTAAATTTGAAAAAGAAAAATGTTTGATATTCTTTCTTATGCAAGCGAGTACAAAATGAATCGCTTTTTTTAGAGCAAAGAAAAAAGTTTATTGATACAATTTTTATCAAAAAATTTAAAGTTTCAATTAAAAAAAATCATTATTTGTAAACCAAAAAACGTAAAATAAAAAATTCTTAAGATATGAAAAAGAAGAAAAAAAAATTCTAAAAATTCTCCATGATGAAATAAAAAATTTTCACGAGGATTTTTTTTTTTGTCTCTAAATTCTTAATCAGACGTAGAAAATCATTTTTTTAGACTTTCCTGAAATTAGAAAAAAAACAACAATTATTTACAATTAAATTTCTTATTATAAAAATCATAACATTTACCTCCTTCATAAATCCGAAGAACTCCAAAATAAAATGTTCTTCGTTTGAAAATTTTATTCTTAAATAATACATACATAGATTATCACTTCATTACTTTATTATTCACTATTTGGCCAGTTGGCAAGTGCCTATTATAAATGTCGCCAAACTGTTTAAAGAAAGGTAACCTTTTTGATATTGCCAACAGATAAAGTAGCATTTCACTTTCTCTCCGCTGGAATTTGTGAGGTAATAATTGGATTATAATTGGATATAATTGGATTAAGTGAGCTATATGCTGAATTCTGTAAGCATCATAATCTTTTCACAGTGATAAACAATCACAACACATTTAATGAAAATTTCATTAACGGATTTATTTACGTTTAATTTTCTTATTTTCGAAATTTTTAATTGCGTATTGTATACTATATTACACTTAAAAGCATGGATGAAGAAGATTCAAATATCTCTATAAAAATGGAGAGTGATTTGAACTGCTTCGACTTCATCCGTGTAAAAAACGTTTATTCAGTAAGTTATCCAACAAGCTCCAAAAGTTCTTATGAAAATTCATCTGCTGATAGTGAATCAGGCAATAGCAATGACCACATTGTACACCAACAAATTGATCACGCAACTGTTTTGGATGAAATGAACTCTAATGATGACGATTTAAACATGGAGCGTATCTTGACACCAATTCAAAGCATTTCTAGAAATAATACTAAATCTTATGACCTTGCTGATAAAAGCATGTCACGTTTCACAAATTTTGTAGAAAGTTCTGGACATATCGTTAAAATACGAAATGCTGAAACTACAGATAGTGGAAAAGAATGTTATGTTTGTGATGTATGTAGAAAGCAATTTACTTCTAAGAGTAGTTTAAGTGTTCATTATGGATGCCATCCTCAAACTAGTATTCATAAATGTTCAATATGTGATGAAACTTTCGTCCAAGCAGCAGATTTTGCAGATCATTATGCTCAACATTGCATACAAGAAGAATATGATTGCATCACATGCGATGAAACATTTACTGAAAAATCAGAATTTGATGCACATACACAAATTCATATAAGTGAAACAAAAGAGTTGGAATGTAATATGTGTCATTCAGTGTTTAAAACAAAATGTGAATTAGCTGAACATAATAAACAGCATACTGTGAAACCTTATCAGTGTGCAATTTGTGATAAAACATTTAGGCTAAAAAGCAGCTTAAATCGACATGTTTTAGTGCACGGAGATAAGAAACCTTTTCAGTGTGAGATTTGTCATAAAGGATTCACACAAAAAATTACACTCAATAAACATTATCTAAGTCATGAAAAAATTAAACCGTATAATTGTGAAATATGCCCAAGATCATTCACCTCTAAGCCTAGTTTAGAATTACATTATGTGAATCATACAGGAGAGAAGCCATTTATATGCCTTATTTGTGATCGGGGTTTCACGAGCAAAAGAAATTTGAAACGGCATGGTTTGGAGCATATGCCAGGCCAACAAAGTGCTTGTGACATATGCGGTAAAGTTTTCAACACAAAGACCAAGCTCAACCTTCACACATTAGTGCATACAAATGACCGTCCTTTTAAATGCAAAATTTGTAATCGGGGATTTACATACAGCAGCCACTTAAAGCGACATCTTATGTGGCACAATAATGAGCGTCCTTTTGTGTGTGAGATTTGTGGTGATGATTTTCCTTCTAGGTTTCGTCTCAAAGGTCATCTAGAAAAGCATAAAGCGAGGTTAAATCGTGAGCCTCTTGATAGAGAGAATTTCATTGATGTAGCAAATGTTGTTGACATTGTGGACAATTACGTGGTTGTTGAAGCGCCTGAAGGGGATAATATAGAATTAATATTAGATGGCGATGTGGAAGTGATATATACCGATAATGTGGAATAATAAAATGATAAATGTGTAGCAAATATGATTGTAATTAATTTAAAAGTTATTTTTTGTAAATATTTAATCATAACTTTGTTTTGAACCTGTTAAAAAAGATATGTAATTGTTTTTCATGTTGAAAGATTTTATTTTAATCAGAAATAAATAGATAAAACAAAAAAATTTTTTGTCTTATTAATAAATTGTCCTATTAATTTAAGGATGTTAAAAATTTTATTCTTTTACCCTTCCTTCTCGCTCCTGTGAAAATGACGGAGTAAGGTTTCGCCCTCTATCTCTCGCTTCCGCGATATTTCCGGGCTGAAGTATTAGTAGTAACACGCCAATACGAATAAAACTAATTCCTTTCTTTTGCTGGGAAACATTTTATTTCTCATTTTAGACACCAGATGGCAGTACAAGGATATCTTTAAGGTAATTGTAGATAGTTAGTTTATTTTAAACTAGATGTCAGCACTAATCAAATATGTGTATAACAAAAATAGGCACTTTTATGTTTTCTTGAAAATTAACTGATCGTTAAGGGGTTAAGAAATAAATTATTAGGTAAAAATCAGATAACTTTTTAGAAATCATGTATGATTTTTAAAAAGTTATCTGATTTTTACCTAATAATTTATTTATTACATTTTAGAAGATGATTTTAAAGCAACAATACAGTTTTTTGTAAATAGGTTTATTTAACAGATAGTCTTAGATAAGACGTAGAATTCATATATTTTACTGATATCTGTTTAGAGAGTCATATCTGCATCTGTTACAGCTGCATTTCTCCTATAACTCCAGTAGAGCTTATAACAGAATACAAGAGTTTCATTATTAATGGGTTTCACTATAAGTATGCAATTTATGTGGTGATCAATTGGCGATCAAAATGGGCTGCAGGTGGCGCTGAGCAGAACTCTTTTCCTATGGCAACACTTCACATGCTTTCTTCATTAGCGTGTGGAAAGTCATAGAGGAAGGAAGTACGTTAGTTTCTCTCTTGATTTTCATATAGATTAAAATCTTTCAACTTGAAACACTATATGAAACTGAAAACTGCATTAAACTTAGTTCTAAAGAAAAGTATCATGGAAATTTTAAAAAATATTTTGATTAAATAAAAAGGAAAAATATTAAGAAAAGGGAAAATATCGTAGTACATTCCTATACAACTGAAAAGAGGAGGAGAGGGAAGGGAGAAGGGCTAAAGGCATGAAACCGGTCTCTCCCCAGATGGCGTATTCGAGTGTTGCGATCGCGAATGGCCAGTAAAAAAAAATTGGTGATTACTGTCTGTGTAAAAGTAGAAAAATGTAATAATTTTGTTCTAAGAGAGAGAGAGAGTTAAAAATAAGTTTTATGAGTTTATAAAGAGATTTTTATTGTATAGAATATGATATCACTACTGTAGGTCTGATTTCAAAATGAAGAACATTTGTAACCAAGCAAATAACTATAACCTTTAAGAAACAAATATTATACACAGTAGTTATTACAAATAGGAATACAGTATTTTTTCTTTCAAAATTGCCTTAACATGGTAAATAATATTTTTAAAGGAAATAATTACCCATAAAAATACTTTTAGAACAAAAAAATTATACATAAAGCAAGATTTTAGAATTTTTTTTTTAACTTTCAGTTTTAGAATAAATGGTTAGTATGCTTAATTTTTGCATTCTATTCTATTAGACCTTGTTTTTTTTTGCATTTGATTTGTCATATAGCTTTTAGTCTTTTGTTTTAATTATTTGCATCTTTTTTTTGTATTATTATTATTTAGCTACCTTCCTTAGAAATTGAATTAGTAAATCTTATCATCAAAATAAGTAGAATGTATCTAAGGTCAAATGGATGTTCCTTTTTTTACTACTACTTTCTGCAAAGAAAACAAAACAATACATTATCCTCTTGGAGAAGTTTTTTTTTCAATTTATAGTTAATTAAACTTTACCGTGTCAGATTTAATTAAATTTGGAAATGTTTTTATAACTGTTGCAATGTTTATAAATAAATTGTTTGTCAAAGGTAAGTGGGAGCCGAGGGGCAATTCCATGGTTACTTTTGTTACTTGCATTTACTTAACTATGGTTACTTTTGTTACATAGATGTTTTTTAATTTTATTTTAGTACATAAATAAACAGAAAATAAATGAACTAAAATGCAGTTTCCATTAAAAGGAAAACTAAAATGTGCAAAAATAAATGTTGCGAATGGTTATCTGAGAAATGTATGTATTTCTTTATTATTGAATTTGGTTATTTTTATACGGTGTGAAATGCTTATGCAAAATTTCATAAATAAATATCCTTTTCATAATTCATTCAAAATATTTTTACCAGAAAAGACATTGTTTTGAATCTCTTTTCTTCACAAACATTTTAATTAAATAATTAACGGATAATAAATTTAATTACATGTTTCGGATATCATAACTAGTTAAAAAAAGGTGCTAAGTCTAGTAATCCATGTGACTTTTCCACCAAATGCTAGGGTTCTGCAGAACGCCATTTGGGTATTGCTGTTCTAAACCATGTAATAAAATCTTCTTATTTTAAAGGAAGGTCAAATTATTAAATAATAGCTATAAAAAAGTTTTAAATACAAACATATTATTTATTATGAAAAAAATTCCTGGTTGTTACATTTCTTTTAGAAAATTTGATAAGAAATTTGCAAAGGACATTATGAGAGTAAATAAGTTTATATTAGTATATTTATTTAGTTTCTTTAAAGCAAAAATGTTTTTTAGAATTAATAACAGATTGAAAACTGAATTTTTTTTTGCAATTTCATCTTTTTGTAAAATAAACTCATGTTTGTGAAAATTGCAACACCATGAAGGACTTACGCGAGTGAGCTGAAATTTTCAGGAAATGCAAAGTAGAGCATAATATGCAAATGATTAGAATTTCAGACCCGTAGCGCATGCGTATGCTGAGCAGCGCCCTCTGAACGGCGGATGGATCCGAATAAATAGACGGCTGTAGCGAGGCGTGTATGGTTATCGGTGGTTATCTGCTAGTGGTAAACGTTAGCTCAGACGTTACTTATGCCTCTTCGACGAAAGAGAGCGAGATTTCAACAACTTACGGAGTTTGAAAGGGGGAGAATCATCGGCCTTCGTGAAGCTGGATTGTCTTATCGTGCAGTAGCCGCTCGTGTGCAGCGTAACAGCAGCACAGTGATGCGTGTTTGGAAGCAGTGGACGGACGAGTGTCAGACAACTCGGAAATCCGGGAGTGGACCCCGAAATGTCACGTCAGCTCGCGATGATAGACACCTGGTCCGCATGGCGCTGACAGACCGTACGGCTCCCTCTAGACAACTGGCAGCACAGTGGTCCATAGCTACAGGTGTTTCATTGTGTGCTTCATCAATTCGTAGACGTCAACTGCAGCGTGGACTTCGCGCAAGGACTCCTTTATACAGGATCACCCTCACGCTAAACCATAGCCGCTTGCGGCTACAATGGGCCAATCAGCATAAGGACTGGCGTGCTGATTGGCAGCATATCGTGTTTTCTGACGAATCCCGCTTTAATTTGTGGTACCATAATGGCCGCATTCGTGTCAGACGCTATGCCTGCGAACGCCATCTTTCGGAGTGCATTATCGAAAGCCACAGTGGACAAACACCCTGAGTTATGGTCTGGGGTGCCATAGCATATCATGGACGATCTCAATTGCTACGAATTGTGGGTAATCTGAACAACAACCGGTAGATCAGTGAAGTTTTACAGCCCCAATCTGTTCCCTTCGTTCAAGCCTTGCCAGGGACTGAATTTCAACAAGACAATGCCCGCCCTCATATTGCTAGGACTGTTCAATCCTTCCTTGCATTGCGGCAGGTACAGCTTCTTCCTTGGCCTGCGTATTCCCCAGATACGTCACCAATTGAACATGTGTGTCATTTCGTTGGTCGGTGTCTCGCTCGTGATCCTCGTCCTGTTGCTTCTACAGACGAACTTTGGGTACGCATACTAACTATACGGAAAGTTCTTCCTCAGACAGACATTCAAAATTTACCTGACTCCTTACCACGTCGTGTAACAGCGCTTATTGCGGTGCGTGGTAGCTACACAAAATACTGATTTCGATCTCTTGTTATTGTTTGTTTGCTTTAAAAGTTTAATAATTTATTTTTACCACTACCACTCAACCCTGTAGTAAATTTCATTCAATTATGACGATTCCTTCATGGTGTTGCAATTTTCACAAACAGTAGTTTATTTCGTCTAGATTTTAAGACCATTTTCAGTATGTTTTCTGAAATCATTGCATTTACACAGTTTTCAAATTATAAAAAATTCGCATGTTTAAAATTTGTTTTTTCGTGAACTATTCTAGCAACTTCATTCAACTTTTGTATTTTGTGATATAAAATTACATTTTTTAAAACAATATAAAAATTTGTATTCTTCACAATTAAACTTTTTTCAGCTATTTTTAAATAAAATAACTGTAAGTAACCATTAAAGATTATTTTTTGCTTTGAAAATTAAATTCGACAATTGTATACAAAAATTTTTCGATTAGCTTAGAAACATCTCGAGATATGGGGAGTTACGCAAAAAGAAAAATTAACATTAAGGGGCCCAAATTTTCATTTACTCTCCTGAAAAACTATTGAAGCCATATTTTCCACAGTGCGACTACCCTTTATATTTTAAGGATCAAGAATCTAAATCTGTTGAAGAAAAAGTATGTTAACTCAGAGAAAAATAACTCTGTGTCTGATTTAGTTAATTAAAATAGTGACTGCACTAAGTAATTGGAATGTTTGGGGACACCCCTTTATATCATTAAGATTGAGTTTAAGTGTGTGAAGATACAATTACTATGCCAAAAACAATCACAATATCAAAAAATAGTTTGGGTGTAAAGTTTTGTTTTTGTTGACTGTACTTACCAAATTAAGTAGTTTGGTGCTTTTACATTTGCTTTTAGCGAAGAGTATTTCTATAAAATTATTATCTGCAGGATCCTGTTTTGTTCTGGTCTATAAATTTTGTTAATTTGATGAGATGTAGAT